TTTATGTAATAAAATATCATGAATTTAATAATGTATTAGTCAAATATTTATGTTAATAATAGCAAATTTATATCAATTGTCGATAATGTCAGCGTCCTTCGATTACCTCTGGGCCCTTGGGGCCCTTTTTATACCGCCGAAAATTTGCCCAAGGTTGACGGTCTTTAATAGTATCTCGTCGGTGCTTAACGTTAAAGTGACTTAGGCTAAAATCAGCCTTATACCGCCGAAAATTTGCCCAGGGTTGGCGGTCTTTAATAGTCGGTGCTAGAATTGATATAATACGACGCCTGTAAACGCAGCTATGTATACACATATACTATACATATGTATACATCGAGTAGATTTTACATATGAAAATATACACGTTTAATAATTTATTTTTATTTCTAAAATTCACAAAAGATTCTGAATACAATAAATAACTTGAAAAGTGTGTTATCAATATGATAATTTTAACAATAAATATCAAGACTAAGCTTTAAATTTATCTCAACTCGGTATACAGGTATATTTTCATATATTATACATGCATATTGTATACGATCGTATACGTTTTACGGATAGAAATTATATTCTTTCGAAGGAATTAAAAACGAATCAATTAATTAATTAGAATAATTATATCCTACTTTAAAAAAGAAAAAATATACGCCATTCTGTTAATAAATGTATAATATTATATTCCTGTTAATAAAAAACGGATACGAAATAAATGTAATTAGCCAAGTCAATGCACATAAGATAGATTTTGAAAGTGACTAAAATACTAAAATGGTCAACTCATGGATTCTATATGCACGCTTTGTGCACATAAAGGCACCTATATTAAAGGGGTTTAATTTAAAACACAAACACGTCCACTCTCAGATCAAAGAAAGAGAGCGAAAATTTAAAAATATTTTTTAAATTTTATTATAGACGTTTTTAAGATTTTTTAAAAAATTCTGAAAATTATCTTTTATAATTAAAATCTTTTTGATGCATAGCGTATTTCGTGACTATAATATTTATTTCTTAGAATACCCTCATATTATAACATCAATTTTCACGCTTGATTTTTATGATTGAAAATGTCCAATTCTCAGAATCGCAATTATTGCGTGTGAAACTTTAAAATAATTCTTAAAATTCCAAATAATATCTTTTTTTGCTGGTTCTTCTTACCTTGGGATTTTGCTGTACAATGAAAGAGTAATAAAAGATTCTTTTACTTCATGGATGTACATTTAATCTATTCGTCATAACAATACATAATTCGAAAATATACTCTTTGAGAAGCATATATATAACGTATATTGTGCGTTAGAAAACGGTAGCTCTACCATGAATAAAAATATGTATCTGTAAACTGTCGTCCTAATAGGACGATGACGAAACAATTATTTTCACCGGTGATAACCGGTGCCGATTTAAAAAATATATATTTATATATCTATATAGCGCATACATCGCCGTTTGATTTGCTTTCTCTTCCTATAGCATGACTGCAATTATATTCTGTGCGAAAAGCAGACACTTTGCATAGACGGTAGCGAACAGTACATCTCCGGCTTATCAATCAGTTCTACAGTATCTTTCAATTTTATCGACTTACTACGTAATTAGACTAGTTTGCACACTTGAGATTCCTTATTCATAAATTTCGTAATACATATTTTGTTCAGATAAGATAAATAAACAAACAAAACGTTAGTAAAAATCTGACAGAAACGAGATTTAGACAAATATCACTAAATTTGTGAACTAAAGATTTCGTCTAATTTTCCCTTTTTTTAACGCAATGATAGTTTCGTATAATACGATTATTGTTGAAATTGTCGTTTAAAATAATTTTTCGCTGTCCTCTTCGCAGAACTGCTAATAAGTCGGTGACGAATCTCATCGTGGATTTCTCTTTTCATAACCGCAGGATATTTCGGGACGATTATTGTCCGACCATGATCTCATATTCAGAGGAGGCAACCTCGGAACCAGCGAAAGGTATATAACACACGTTGTGAGATGGTTGCACCTTGCCGATGGTCACGGTACCCTCGTGGTGTACACGGCCAACGAACAGCGGCTCGCCATCTTCGGACTCGCCTCCTGGAATCGCATTCGGCGGGATGCTGCCGCCACTTACCGGCACCCAAGTGGGTTTGCAGCCGCAAAGGACCTACGAAAATGTAATGGAAATATTTTGTGAACTGGGAATAATCGCACTTTATCTATCCAACTCCGGTGAAAATTTTTCTCATAATTTTTATACAAATTGGAACATTTTTCAGAAATACTCAGAAATATTCAGAAAGTACATCTTCTCTCAGAATTTTTCATACAAGTGAATTCTGAAATATTTTGAAATTTCTCATCCCATAATTTTTAAAAAATATTTCTTAATTTTTTAAATTTTCTAATATAACATTTCATCAGAAATTATACTTACAAAAACTTTTAGAAATATCTAACGATATTTCATAAATAACATATATATGAAAAATTCTAAAAAAAGATTTAGATTTTCTGAAAAGTGTTCCAATTCGTATAAAAAATGTGAGAAAGTTATAAAATTATATAGAAATTCTGAAAAATTATATGAAAAATTCTGAGAAAAATTTTTACCAGGAAATCAATTCTTTTTTACGTGTGTGTGTTTTCGAGATTATCTCTATTTGATATTCACCTGATAATCGGTTTTTCCATGTTCCGCGCCGCCCCAGGCAACGTAGCAGACGGAATGACCGGGCTTCACCTTGCCGGGGATGAGGGCACCCTCGTGATGAGCCCTACCGACAAACAGAGGCTCCTCGTCGTGTCCACCCTCGACCGCGTCGGGTGGTACCATCCCGCCGGACGCGTCACACCAGCACACGCTTCCCGCGTCGAGTCCACGGACTTCCGCCGGCGCGGACGGCGTCGTGCTAGGATCTACAATTACGTTCTTATACTTAGTAACATTATGGAAACTTTATGAAATCACAACATTGACACGATGTAAAAAAAGAAAAATATAAAAAAGTGATATAATCGAAAAATAATAAAATGCAGGTCCCATTCATCCTCATTCCAGTCAAGCCGTATCCAATTTACCAATATGCGTGCAAAAGCCCTGAAGAAAATAAAAATCGGAGAAGTCAAATGTAAGAAGAGAGTAATAAAAGCGTAAACGAAGCTTCTAGGAGGCAAAAATTGAAACAACGGAACGTACAAGAAGCGTAAACGCCTTTTATACGGTTCGTTATTTCAATTTTCGCCTCCTAGAAGCTTCGTTTACGCTTCTATTATTCTCTCCTTACATTCGACTTACACTCCGATTTTTATTTTCATCAAGGAGTGATTTTTTATTCCATGCGGTTAATAAACTATGCGTTATCAAAAGGTGCTTGAAAAGATCAAGTGACACAGAGTTAAGGGGATGCTGGAGTGACCAAATTATCACATTACAGTCGTATAAAAATCTTCGAATTGACTGAACGGAATAAAAAAAATCCTTTTACAGGATTAAAGTAAACGCAAAATTAGAAGATGGTGCAGTGGATCTTGTACTAAAATCGAAAAAAAGTTAAAAAATTTGTTAACATTCTTTCGATTTTAGTATAAAATCCACTGCACCACCTTCTAATTTTGCATCTACTTTAATCCTGTAAAAGGATTTTTTTTATTCCGTTCAGTCAATTCGAAGATTTTTACTGTAATGTGATAATTTGGTCACTCTAGCATCCCCTTAACAAAAATAAAATTGAGCGCTTCAAACAATTTGATTCTACAGGGAAAGATTTTCAAAAGCCAGGTTTGAACATGTATATGCGTGTGTATGAGGGTGTAATACAGATTTTACGTCGCAATCAAGCGTAATAAAACGTATCGCTCGGTGGTTCCGAGATCGCGTCGACGCCCCGAGTTTATCAATCGCGATCAGATACGAGGGGACGCCGATCTCGGAACCGCCGAGCGGACGTTCAAAGAGATCATTACATTTCTTTTGACCGGTAGCAACTGCGGGATAATGTTCGAAACGGAGCTTCCAGTTTCCGGTCGCGCCCCAACTGGTGCGCACCCCCACATAGCTCACGCCAATGGGGTTCGGATCTCGCCATTCCATGAGGACGGCGCCGCTTGGACCGCCTGATCTGACCGTGATGAGGCCCTCGAGCCACGTGATCGAGAACCTCTTGTGCTCGCGATCGGTGAGAAGATTCGGCGTGTCCACGCGTACCTAGCGGGTCGCAAAATTTCCCACGTCAAAGCAAAAACGTACATTGAGTACGCCGTTCCGTTTAAACGCTTAAATTAATCTGGCACGAATTAACGAAATCGTTTCGAACCTTATCGGGCTGTTTGCGATTGTATCTAATAACCGACGCCTTGTTTTCCCACCCGCCGAGCATGATCTCGTACATGGGACTCGACTCGCCCTTCCGGTCGGTCAGCGCGATGTGCCCATTGCTCATAGCTTTCACGTCGATCAGCACCGAGCCGCTTCGCACGGCATGAAACTTGTACTGTAGCTTGTTAGGGGTGTTCAAAGGTTTGCGACCTTATCAAACGTAAAAAAGATTAAAAAAACAATTATCAATTTAAAATTCTGAAAATTATCTATACAAAAAATGCGAAGATAAATATTGATATTTATAATGAAGGAAAATATAACTTAATATCATATTTTAATAAAATAATTACATTCATAGACATCGAATTGCTTTCAAAAGCCTTTCGATATGTTGCTCTCTGAAGGAATTTCCATTTGAAGCTAGAAAGCAATTAAATAAATAAATCTAAAGTGTCAATCGATGTGTGCGTGAACAATTGAAATGAAATCAATCACTACCTACGATGCCCCTGATTTATCATAGCCAAACGTGCTGTGCATACCGACGCAATGAATTAATAAACACGCTGCGTTTTTTCTTGGATCCGTTAAGAGCCACACAGGGACGAGTCTCCGCGAAAAAGAAACGTTCTTAATCCAGCGTCGACCACACGTGATGGGGACGGGTAACGTGCTAGGAAAGCATCAAACGTACTCGGGCAGAACTAACGAGCAGAAAAGCAGAATCTACGGGACACCCACGTGCGACTACGTCACGCTCTTGCAAGGATCTCGTGAATTTTTTTTTTGCTCAATACATTACGTACGGCCACCGTAACCGCCGCCGCAGCATATGGCTGTGCGAGTGCCGAGGTGCCACAATCCGAAAGGATACCAAAAAGAGAATCATCAGAGAAAATCAGAAAGTGATCAATCTTATCTACAGAAATATAGGAAATATAGGCATTGATTAATCTATTAGAAATAGCCTAATTACGAGTCTCGTTCTCTTTATTATTTTTCTACCTGTTGTAATTACGGATGTCTATTATTATAATCTGTAAAATACAAGATGGAGATTACGAGGGAAAGCTACTGACTATTACGAAAAGGAAATCTGGCAAGAAGAAATGTATCGTTAGATCGCGGGAAGAGTTCTGACTTCCTACCTTCGATGAGCCATTCACCGGTTGCACCCCAGCCAGTGCAAACGCCGAAGTATCCTATCCCGAATGGTTCCGGATCGGCGTAGCTCAGGAAAGGATTTGACTCGCCTTCTTTGCCCACCGTAAGAACTCCATTGTCCCATCTGCGGATTTTGTAAAGCGAATTAAAGAATAATAAGTATATAAAATACTCCACTAATTAATGTATTAATATAATTGGGGTTCTTTAGATCTGTACGATACAGACTTGTAGCGAGTTAACAATGTACCATCAAGCTTAACGACTTTTTAATTAATAAATCTGGCGATTCTAAGCGCCCACCTGATCCAGAAGCCGCGATATTCATCCCCGTTCAGAATGTCGGGCGTTTCCGTTTCTGCTACCTCCGGCTTAGCTCTATTCTTGCGCACGACGGACTTGCTGTTGTTCCAACCTCCGATGAAGACCTGAAGAGAGAGACACAGTCTTCAAATTCAACGCTCCGTTGCATTACGGATTTAATTACTACGACGCGCGACGGCGCTTTTGTGCGCCGTCATGGAGCCGAGGCTCGTCGTACAAGCCAGATTCCGATAGGATCTACGGCTCGAAAGGATATCCGCCGCTACTCAGGCATCCTGGGTAATAAAACGCGCGAAGGTGCGAAACGAAATCTTACCTCGTACATCGGATCCCCTTCCTGGGGTCCCGTGGTGAGGGCGATGTGGGCATCGTTCGGCGCTTTTATCCGGAACTGAATTTGCCCGGCTGTCACGGGGTAGAAATGATACTCCAATTTGTCCTCGGTGTTAAGCGCTAGAAAAGAAAATCGCGTGAAGCTTCAAGAAGCTGCAATGTATAAATCAGATCACTCGATCATTGCTCGAGTCGAAATTTTGCTCCTACTTTGAACCTTAGTTTCAGGACGAATGTAGACTCTAAAGATTTATAATTAGGACGTATGTAGGCTCTAGAGATTTATAACAGGTTTTAATCTAATGAATTGAACTCCTATGTTGAGCCTGTAAATAGCAGTCGGAAAATTTCCTTTTGAACCTATTTTTAGGTTCAAAAGAAGTTTTCTAAATAGAAGCTGTAGATTAAGTAATATCGAAAGAGGTCCTATTTGATTGTTGAAGTATCAAAACAGGTTTAGGAGGTTTAATTGAGGTTGAAAGAGATTGAAAGGACTAAAATTTCGACTCGGGATCGTCTCGTGCTGCTCGTGATAAATCAGCCGGGATCGCAGTCGACTGGCGAGCTGATTACTTAATATTATTATTTTCCGCGTCGCGGGGAGATGCGTCGAACATCCGAGACATCTCGACGCCAGACCGACCCGTAGCAGTTCGGCAAGCGGTCAAGAAAGTAGGACAGTGCAGGATTCGATCAATATCGCACGTCGGTGATGATAATCATGCACGTGGCTTATGTTATACATCTCACAATTCGATCGTAAGTTTTAATGATAGGCTCCGGAAAGGTCATTCAGTGTAATTGGGCCACATGCTAATGCGCACGCGAAAAATCCGTGCCGTTGAGCTTTTAAGAGGTTCATAAAACATAAAAAATGTTACGAATCGCCGCAAGGACGAGCCACCGTCATTTACAATTGTATAGATGCAAAAAAAAAGAATTACGTTTGCATAAAGCTGATCGGTCGTAAAAATAGACATACCAATAATTTCGATACTGCACGCGAGGTTTTTTAATCACTCTCCCCGCGTTCTCGAGTCGATCGAATTACGAGGTCGTAAATACTTGTCCATGATGTGTTAAATAAACGACGTAATTTTCTGCTGAGATCCATCCGCCGTAAAACAACGTCTACAATGAGATTTTAAGGCGTAAAATTTAAGCTTTAAACCTTAAACGGCGTTAGAATCTGATGAATCATAGTCGATTATTCTCCTTACGTTTGATTGTGCTTTCGATTGGTCAATTTCTTACGATGTGGGGTTAAACTTCAAATTTTACACATTAAAACCTGATTGTAGACGACATTTAAGAACTGAACAAATCGCTATTTTTAATTCAGTGAGGTTATTTTTTTAATAATTCTATACCAAAGAATCCCGATATGTTTTAGAAAGCAATCGACGTGACTACCGTCGACTCTTTCGCTTCTGAATTCTTTGTTTCTCAATTTTGATCCGACACGGAATTAGAATCGGGTAGTCTTTGCTATTAATATTACCATCGTTAGTTTCGCAGTGTTATTAATATTATCATCGTTAGTTCTTCGTAGTGTTGACACTTGCGCGAAAAACGTGGCACGACTGCCCATTAATTTCGAGGTCGCATGAAATAAGAGATAATGCGACATTGAGCTTTTTTTATATATTATCCATTTATTTTCCATATTCCGTTCGCTTCGAAAATCGAATGATGCGCGAGCGACGCGGCACCAACGTAACGATTATAAATAGTTAGGCGAGTATGTGTCGTGGTCAGCTTACAACGCTGACATCATACGCATCGTAAATGAGGAAGGGGATCGCACGAGGTGGCTTGGCATGGACCTCGGCCACGAGAAATTCAGATCCCTCTTAGGGCACTCTCGTTGCGGCGAATATATACATACGTCGCCGATACTAAAATCGAGGCCGTCACCGAGTGTACCAGGTCTAATGCCGCCGTGCTGATGTCATTCTTATTTCGATGACAATTACTTCACATTACGCGACGTCCGCGATCCAGAACAATCGCGCGCGACGATCTTCTAATATGTCCAGCCACGATATCTGAGAAAGAAAAGAAGAAAGGAAATCGAGCACTCGCAGCGTCCGACAGAACGCTGATCGAATCTCCACTAATTAATTTTAATCTCCATTATCCATACCTTTCTTTTGACAATTAGCTAATTATTTCGAACAGTGTCTTGTTTCGATAATTAAATTTTAGTGATTAAATTTTAGAAAATTCTTGAATGCAAACAAGAACAGAGAGAGAGGGAGAGAGTTTGAGCGTTCCGTGTTGAACTTGAGAATCCTCCTATCGTTGAAGGGATCTCATCGAGTCCTATGATCGCAATGGCTTGAATCGCGTTAATTTAATGCGTGGCAAATTGATTAGCTTCTGTAATGTGGGTCGTGCTTCTTTCCCAATTAACATAACGACGCGAGAATTAGAGCCATTGAGTCAATTCGCATTGCGCAACTATGAACGCCGCTGATCACACTCATCCGAGCACCGCGCGTGCGAGTTTCCATTCTTAAGATTTATCTCCATTGAAACCGATCAGCATACTGGTTTCTTCTTCTTATACTTTATAAAAGAAGAAAAAGAAGCCAGTAAGGAAAAGAAAAATTGTAAATCAATCGCTCCAAAGTTTCAAATAATTGAAATTAGACACGCGATTTATGTTGCTGCATAGGTTCGTTTCTACGAGCCTTATGTCTTTTCTACAATAAACCATTATCTAAGCTTTAATTGTCTTAGCCGTAAGAAATTGACCAATCACAGTCGAATATGAAAAGAGTAAACGACTATGATTGGTCAATTTCTTACAGTTTAAGATTTAAGCTTACCATTGTGGAAACATTAATTTCAAAATTGAAAAATCATTAATTTCAATTCTTGGAAATCTGAAGCGATCGGTTTACAATTTTCCTTTTTCTTCCAATCAAGACGGAGCGACACAGAATCTGGCTGGCGCGCGAAAAAAAAATGATCCTCGTAATGCTCTAGCGGTTTCGTGCTAAATAGTCGCGCGCCAGTTAATTCTGTACAGTAAATCGCCGTCGATAGCCGGACGCAACGGTATGTAGAACTATTCGCCGTCGTTCTGCCATTGACCTCGCATGGCAACTGTCGGTGTCGCTTCGCCGGCAAGGTGGACCACGGCGTGCAACGTGCAACGCGTTCTCCTGCAACCGCTGAAACGTGCGTGGCTACAACAGGTGCCACGCCACTCTCGGTACCAATCTGCCACCTGCTCTCACGAGGAGTACGTCCCTACCGAATTTTCCTCGGTGATGTTACACCGGTCTGAAACGGACGGAGCTTCTTTTGTGGGACTTAAATGACGCGAGGCGTGTTTTAACAATATTTGTACGACTTGAACGATCATCTATGGAGCTCGTGATTGAACGTTTCTTTTTCATTGTTGTCGCAGTATCTTTGGTTCCTTTGTTTTTCGAACGATATTTGTCCGCGAACTTGTCTTTCTGTCGCGCCGGTTATGCAAGCAAAAAAAAAAACAACGCGTATTTTCGTGTGAGTTTCGAGGGATCGAAGGAAACGATCGGTGAGTCGAAAGCTTCAATGGGCGAGGCTTCATCCATGCGATTTCGCGAAGGTAAAAGTTGACGTGACGTGAAAGGGCCCGGTCGGCGGAAAGGTTACGTGTAATGTAATTAAAGCCACGCTATAGACCGCTTCAATTTCACGGTAAGATGAATGGGAAAAGTGTCCATTCCTGAATTTTCAAAACGCTCCCAGGGATTCCGTTTTAATTATATCCGAGGGAGGTGTACGAGAAGCGCAGAAGATGAAAAAGATAATGAAAGGAACGAGACATTCTAGCATCATAAACGCGACGCGGTGGCGTCGATCCAAGAGTAGACTTCCGTCGGAAAGAATATATTTAATAAAAGAATCGAAATTTTTTTTGGAGAAACAGACCGTGAAGATGATTCACGCAGTGGAAGAGCAGCAGGAAACGAATCTGGGCGACGGGATGATGCGGAGGCCACGGAGGCGGCATTACGAAACGCAATCTGGAAGTCGGATTACACAAGGACGTGGAGGGATCGCATTCTTATGACATGATCACACGCTGTGAGGCCGTTACACGTCTCGGACATTATCCAAGTACCTCTCGCACATTCGCTGTCCTCGCAATACCTATCCGCCGCAGTAACTGCGCAAGTTTCTCGCATTTATATTCCCGCCTGTGATAAACTTTGGCGTGAAAAAGCGAGAAGTTTTTCCTCGCGATGACGTAAACACATTAAAAACTATACGACGCATATATATATATATATATACACATCGTTGTTGTTTATCATGGAATTTAGCATACGACTGCAAATACCTTCGCGTCGACTTCCATTTGTATCGTTTCTAAACGTTTCGCGGAACGTTCGAAAATCCTGAATAGAAAAGAATCCTGTCTCTGGAACCTTTTTTCGGGGTGAATCAATCTTGCCGGGGATACCGGCAGCTGCAGAACGCTTTATTCGCGTTGGGTCTTATGACTGTCCGTAGAATTTTAAAGAATCGCTCGAACGATCGTAGAGTATCGGGATGCCGGCCGGCTTGTCAAACCGGCAGCCGCGCCCCAGCTCTATATTTAGAGAGAATCTCTTGTAAAGAAAAGGCTCAGTGGCTTCTTAGAAAAGATACTATTTCCTCCATCTTGAAAACTTTTTCTATTTCCGCCGATCCGATCGTTAAGTTTGATGAACGAAATTGATCAACAAGGATACGAAGATCGCGAAATGGAATCTTAGATATTAACACGACACACTGAGATCCTTTATCCGTTTTGGAGCAATGTCAATTTAGCGCTAACAACGTTATGCAATGTTACGCTTCCGTATGAATCAAAGCCATCGCGGTCAAATAGCTGCTTTGAAATAGAGGCGCAGTAATGAATAATGGAATAGATTTCAAAATCGGTTATCGCGACAGTCGTATAAATTTGTGTCGAAGTAAAAAAAGAGAATAAGAAAAATAGTAAATCGTTCTTATTTTACACGCTTAAAGCTTGAATCATTTAAATATATAAGAATTATATAATAATTATTGTCTAACACATATTATTATTATTATATATTAATTATACTAAATAATAATGTTATATATATATATATAATAAATATATAAAAAATGTGAGTGCGCTAAAAATTTCGGAAATAAATTTCGGATGTAAATCAAAAACTTACAGACTGCCATGTCGCTCTATCGATATATGTAAAATCCTTCGGCGAGAGAAAAACGGAACGAATACGATGCGCACACCACGAAGACGGAATTCGTACTGCGACGCGGCGCGTGAAATGTTGACGTCTCTACCGGCACTGCCGGCAGGCTTGGCGCATGCGTGATGTCCAGGTGTGACGCGATACCCGCGCTATATGCAAGTGATAATTAATGAGCGAGATGAGTCACGCGGATCAACGCGATGATAGATCCACGGATGGAATTCCGCTCGATATCCTGTTTGCGAGATCCCCTTCCCCAGAGAGATCCGATCGGATTATCATTGACGTAAAAAATTGCCAGACTAAATACGATTGCGTGACGACTAAATCATCGCTCCCGATTAATGATCTCGTGTTTTATTATCGTGTCCCACATGATAAGCTCATGTTTGGATCACGTATGTTTTATGCCGTGCACTGCGTTTGCTCGGTAAAAGTTCATTACGTGATTTGCAATATCGCGATTTAACTTTCACGGTACATCATTATTATTATTAAGCTCTTATACATTTATTATGCGAAACAGATAACAAGTGGCACACAGTCATGGTCATTATTAGTCGATGATTTCATCTGGACTGCATCTGGCGAATAGAATCTTCCATTTGTTTAACAGTCTCGCAAATATGACGTGATGGTTTGACGATACATAATAATAACTGTGAAATAATAAACTTTCGCGAGTTTCATCGATTCTGCTTAGCGATTTTAAATCTTCGTCAACAATTCCAATTGAATTTACACGAATTATTCAAATCGATTTGTAAAACATGCGCTTTTTATGCACTATATTTAATTTTGATAAGGAAGCACAGTTTAAAAGGAAAATTGACCATGCAAACGATTGTTATCGTTGGATAGCAAGTAACCAGTTAACGATCATCGGTTACCAGCGATTGTTACTGAGAAATTCTCGTGATCCAATCTTCGTGTTGACCCTCTGTTGATATGCAAGAAACTTACAGTTTGCATTATAGCAAGAATTTCTTTTCATTTTATGTAGATGCCGGTATCGATTTTTTACCCTTAGTATTATTTTCTGGTCTTTTTATTACCAATAAATCATTTGTATTCTGGATTAATTTTAATCATTTTTACAAGTATACAAAAATTATTAATTATTGATTCTTACATATATACAGGGTGTTTCTCAAATAGCGGACACTAATCATATAGCGTTATTTCTCATTGAAAATTGAGTCAAAAAGTCCTCTACAATTTTGCAATTTTCGCACAATGGTTGACAAAATATTATATTAATTTCTAAATATTGCCAAATCGTATCAGGCTGTTCAACCATTAACTATCACGAAAATTGCAAAAAAGTAGAGGACTTTTTGATTCAATTTTTTTATAAGGAATAGCATTATGTGATTATAGTGTCCGCTATTTAAGAAACATACTTTAACGTTTTTAAAACGTATTTATAAATTTAATATTATAAAATTAATATTAAAAAAGAAAAGGATAGAAACCGTTATTTAATAAGTGTTCTAGTATTAAAAAATAATTCATAAGACACGAATGATCCAATCTCGTGTAACGGTTAATTTAATAATTTTCATCCCGGGATTATTCTTGAAAAATATTGCATACAAAAAATATTATGGTATACTTTACATATATTATAGATTTTTCAATATTTTTGTTGCGATATTTTTCGAAAATAAGGATCCAGATCTTTTCGCAATTAAAAAATATTTATCACAAAACTCATAAATATTTAAAAATACTTTCAACACCGCGCTTACCGTTCCAGTAACACAATCTTCGTTAGTATTGCACAATGCGTTAGTTGCGTGATTGAAAATAACTTATTCGTAGCGTTATTGAAAATTGCATACGGTGTATACAGAAACTGGTATGCAAGCTCAAGATATTACGAAACGTATAATCGCGGACTGCAGCAGAAACGGCATAGACGCATCGGATGCATCTCGCTGTTGCGAGGCGGCACCTCGTTCGTCTCTATTAACTAAGCTGCTAACACATTTCTTAACAGCTGACAATTGACGTCAATTACCAGCTTTGTACCAGCAATTTATGCATTGATATTAAAGCCACGACTTGAAGGTAATAAAAGGAATAGAAAATTATTGATGATATCTCGAATAATATATAATATTAAAAGTTGCTCGTAGATACATTTCTTAATCCTCTGTGATAAATTTGGCTCTCATATTTCATAATTACGAAATAATCTCGTCTGTGATTCTTTTACAATTATTAATCTCAATCAATAAATATTTATCATTATATGAAAATGAATTATGTATATTCGTCTATCAACGCTTCTCTTTTAGACAAAATATCATTCGGAACCTGACACGAGTGGCGACTGAACTAAGCTTGTTCAACTACTACAAGTGTGGTAGGTTCAACAATGCACGTGCATCGTCAGATGCGCTGACCGGTTCCGAGGGGGCCTCATAAAAGCACCGAGACTATTCAAGACGACTACGCGACGAGATCTCTACGCTAAAGCGAACGCGGCCGAGAGATCGAGATTTAAAATATTTAATCAGAATCGGTTTATCTAAAAAAAATTAATGACTAAAAAATATCTGACTGGAGAATCTCGAGTTCTTAAACTCTCAAACGAGTTGCATTAAGAAATAATCCGGAATCCTGTTTTTCAATCACTTGTTACATGGCGATTGTGCCACTTTATCGCTTTGTCGATGCAGCGTGCGAGACGTAATCCCATATAGCTCCGGGGCGTTATGGAGTTTCAAAGAATCGCAGATGAGGTCTCGGTTGTTTCCACGCGAGTCGCATCTCCCGTATATATACAGGTTTCCTCTTCACGTCCAGCGTCCCTTGAAACTGGTCCCGACCGTGAACACCAAAGTCAGAGCGGTCGCTGGCCTTGTATCCTTTCATACGGACGTATCTCGGAATAGAGCCTCGCTCGATTTCCAGAGCGAGAACTCATTTTCGAACGGGACCGAAAGGAACACTTGTAATAAGAATGACAGAAAACACGCCGAATATTACTGTACGAAAGCAAATAAGACGGTACTTTATTTTTCTTTCTTTCTTTCTTTGTTTCTTTTTCTCTCTCTCTCTCTTTCTTTCTATCACAGTTGAGACTACGAAATACAAGCACATATCATATCATATCTCACACACATCACCAACAATAGTTAGAATATACATATATAATATATAATATATATATATATAGCGAACAAATAAAAGTTAACCGACAAAATATCGTCGCGATGAAAGAAGACGTTATCTTACAGTATATAGAAAGAATGAATGAGCAATTCCTGAGAGCATTCATGATAAAATGTCCGTAGTGACCAGCATAATAAGATAATTAGATAATATATTCAATACATCGCAAAGTATTGATTAGTAAAATTCGCCAATATATGGCACTAAATAATATTTACGACTGTCTATGTTTAGACTAAACTCAGTACCTGTTCAGTATGCTAATTATTTTATATCGTCATACTTAGATTTACATAAATATGTTTTGTTAAACATGTGTGCTCGTTACCGATTTAATTTCAGCGTTTATTCCTTTCGACGGTTGTTTCTTCCTTTTCTCTTTGGGAGGAAAAAAGAAGAAGAAAGATGAACTGGTGCAAAAATTCAGCCAAAAAGAACAGGCCTTTTCTATTTCCAAAACGCGCTTATTACCGGTACCGAAACATTCAGAATTCGCGACTGTTTTTTTACCGATCAGCTGTTGACTTCGTGTCACGACATTCGCGACCTTTTCTTTCTTTCCCGCGAAGCGAAGGTTATCTCTCGGTATCTACGTACATTGCTTAGACTCAGTTTCACAACTCACGGTTGACTCTTAACCGAGGTTCAACTTGTTTCTCATCTCTTTCCAATTCTAGAATTGGAAAGAGACAATGAATAAGTTGAACCTCGGTTAAGAGTTAACCGTGAGTTGTGGAACTGGGCCTTAACGACTTTTGTTAGTTGATTTCGAATAAAGCTCAGCAGCACATCTCATTGTACGTCTCTCTATTCTCTTTTCAACACCTTCTGACTCCCTCGTGTACGTTCGTAATAATTCCGACGTCGCCAGTGAACCCGGGTATTTAGTATCATTTCGTTTTGCAATTCTCCTAACAGTCTATTTTAAGCGATTGTTGACGCTCGAGACTTGCGACGTACAATTTATTTTATTGATTCAATTTAATCCCTATAAGAAATTACTTTTCTCTTATGTTCTTATTACGTCAGAGATTATAAAAAAATTTGCCAGAAACAACTAACGTTGGATTATCGGAAAGCATTTTTTAAGAGAAAACTTAGATTATAAAAACAAATCTTTAAAAGTCTCACATCTTATCATTTTTTCGATCAAAAAAATAAATTTCGTAATTTTGACATATAATTCTTTTATTACAATCTTAAGGATTTCCTTTATCTCAATTATCTCATAGAATTAATTGGTTTGATTTTTGAGAAGCTTATTTTAGCTTTGGACATGTCGCTGTTATTTGTTATACATACATATCGTCGAAGTTTCATCCTCGATACAACGGTATCTCACACTTGTTGCTCGACGCGCGACAAACTTTGATTATATCGCGCGAATATTTTGACAGAGAGCGAACTACAGTAAGCGCATAAGGCTTGAATGAAGCCGTACGATGCTTCCCGAGGGTCTTGCCCTTGTCTCGCGCGTCAACAGTAACATACACGATTTATAAATACGATGCTATAAACAGCTATCTCTTTTATACGTCGCGCAGTATGTAACAGCATCCAAGATAGATCGTTGTACCTGAAGCCACTTGAAGACGATACGATGTGCCTCGCGAACGGATTAATCGAGAGAAACAGAATCCTCATCACGCGGTACAAGTAGTACATACACAAAAAATTCATGATTCGTCATTAATATCTATCTAACATATATAATGAGATACATAATGAGACTTACCGCGTAGCGAAAATAATCGCGCCGTGGTAATTATCGTTATATTTCACTTTATCATCGTTCACGTGTTTATACAGTATAGGCACGAATGTTCTCGGAATTTCATGTACACGTGTTAGTAGCGGTTTCTAATTAATTAACGTGAAAGCGATATTCCCCGTACGCGCGTAAAAGCGGATATTCCCATAACGTTGTTAATCTACTTTTCACTCGCAATTTTTTTTGCTCTGGATTAAA